CTTTCTTTGTTCGGATTGAGGAATTAGAGAGCCGAGTTCGAATTCCAGTCGAAACCATTACATTCACTTACGTGCTAATACCTTTGGGAAAGATATGAATCCTCGTCTTCTTCCCCCAGCTGTGAGTAAATGGCAGAACAGACCGGGTTCTCTAGCCTGGTCTACCTCAGAAATAAATGGCAACCTACTGCGGGGAAAAAATCTACCTCGTCAGTCATGTATCGAAAGATACATGATCGCCTAAGCGTGTATCACGCATGTCAGATAACTGAATGAATTGCTTGGTGTTCCCATATCAAATTCGTAAGTCGTAAATCTTGGGATTTTTCTCTTGCTGATGACAATACTTTTTGTCTTCTTGCAGTTGATGGTTAGTCTTTTTTTTTCTCGCTTTATTTCTAGGAGGTCCTACACTTCTTTTTTCTTCGTGTCACCACAGTGTCATCTATGCATCTAATATTGTTAAGATTGCTCCCACCGATAATATTAGGGTCCCCCCCTTAAGATAGCCTCGCTCTAGAGGTTGAATAAATCGGTCGAGATAACACATTCTTTTCTCACGCCCGTTTCTATTTTTGTACAGCTATTCAATTCTCATGCATCCTTTCTTTACATAAATATTTTAATACTTTTCTCCTTTTGCCTCTTTTGAAAGCGAGAAGAAAGGACTAAATGTCAATAATCAGAATACAGAATGGATGGTCCTTATGAAAATGGACAGCCAAACAATCGTTGACTTTATGCATAAGATTTTATTATTTGTTATTAATTATAATATTTTATTGATGAATATTAAGTTAATTTTTTTTAAAAATTTGAAATAAGAGTTTTTGTCCTAAGTAATTTACTTTTTAGGGAACCAATTGTAATGACGAATGTATCGTCCTAACCAACCGTTATTTCAATATATCATAACAGGCGATGAAAAATAGGTTCCTTACAACAATGTTCATCACAAAATGCAGTGGTTTGACAAGGATAAAGTCTTCACAACTGACTTCAAAATGTGAGTTCCACAGAAGAAAGGTTATATTATACGTGTTCTGGGATCATCGGGGTCGTATTCATTTAGGTATCTTACAACGCAAATAAAAACTAAATACACGTTTATGCGCACAGTGGCTTTAACGTGTGTTGAAACTTGACTAATGCATGGAATAATAATGCAACACAAAATGTACTTAGAACAAGATGTATTGAAACAAGAAAGTGTACACAATATTTACATATAGTCTTTTGTATATTCCTGGGAAGACCGTTCCTGGATAATGTGTTGACTTAGTCGCAGTCGGGCAGAGTCTCTGGATTGAATCTCTTGATTCCTCTCCCCGTCTTCCCGGTACCAACCATATTTATATGGTCGGTACTCCACTATGCAAATTAGGTGGATCCTACCACAACAACGTGTCTCAAAAAGCTTGCTTGAAAAGTGTACTGCAGGAAAAATGTTTTTCCTACTCCATGACAATGTCTGGCCACAGACAGAAAGAATAACACAGGAAGAAAATTAGAACAAGGCTGGTCTGTCGACCCTAACCCGCTATATTCATCGGATCTTGTACCGACCGATTACTACCTTTTTTAATCATTACAAAATACTTTGATAGGGAAAGCTTTTTCTAATCAAAATTCAACAGTTCGTCTAAAACATTTTCACATCAAAACATTCTAAATTTTATTCAGATAATATCGAAAACCTGCTTTCGATAAATGACAACAAGTCATTGCAAATAATGATGAATATATAATTAGATTATAAATTGTATTTAAGTTTTTAAAGAATAAAGCTGATAAACAAAAACGGACATTATCCATGACTCAACCAATTAGATACCAAATCACATCTATTTATAATTATATGTGGTCTTTATACATCTACGGATTATATAGTTTTTAAGTTATTTCTTCTAGTTTGACTAAGTCTGATTGCGATAACACAAATTAATGGTTTTGTTTTTCCTGCAATGTTCAGTACTTTTATAAGGGTTACTAATCTTTCTTAAATATAAACTGATTTGTTCGTCGACAGTATACTTTGGAAAGTCATTATTGATGAATGTTTAAATTGCTTTTAAAGAAGAGATTAATTCGACTATAGTATTTCTTTGATGACCGCCATTTTCTATCGATGAAGGCATTCTCTATTGCAGTTAAGAAAACACGTGTTTGTGATAGGCATTTTTTTTTATAAAGAAAGATAATTAAATTATGACAGAGTCAATGAGGACATACAGAAATATAATTTTTTTTTATTAACATTTGGCTCGTATGTAACGTTAATGGCATAATTATGTTGAAATCTTTCTGTTTTTTTCTGTATTTTTAGCTGAAATGAAAATATTGTCGGTGTATGTGACGTAAGTCATTGGTTTAGTTAAATAGAATATGCAACCACAACACTTTCTTGAAGATACACCTGTCATAATTTCGACCAAAATAATGGAAACTCAGAATAATGAAATAAATATTACAATTATATTAAACTGCTAATTGGTAAAGTAAGTTGTATATATTACAAGCTATCCATATTAAATCAAACAAATATCAACCAACGCAAACACGTAGGTTTCTGAAAATATATTTACCTTCTTAGAAGACACATTACATCATGGTCACGTGACACCACAAAATAAATAGCGAAAAAATAAAACCCAGGATGCAGCTTATAACAAAATTGCTATAATTTAAGTTATAATGCGATCTATCCTGATCCCGACAAGATTGTCGAACAAACGGCTCCTTTAGAAATTTGTTCCCGATGAGACATATGCGCAAACTGGAGAAATGTAAGAAAAGAAGTAGCTATGGGCGTGTCGATTTAAATTTTAAAAAATAATTTGTTTGAATGAAGTTTTATTGCATAAACCTGTAGAGTACATAATGAGGAAAGAGGGCTTCGGAAATCTGACACTCACAGGATATATTAGATGCAAGAGGAATGGGGGAAAACGGTGCATAAACTGCCCACCGAGCTTATGCAAACCAAAACAGGGTTTAGGAGAGATAGCAAAGAGATATCATTTAGTAAGAGATACAAAGGACAGGAAATTGTGGAGAGCCGTGTTTGCCAACGTCCTAAAGAGAGATGACACATAAAAGTAGAAGAAGAAACCTGATTTAAATAATTTTAAATTATTTAAATTACACAAGCCTGCAGCGAAGAAGAAAATTAAGTCATGACACTTTATTGTACTCTCAGGCGTACTTCCATAAGAAAATGACGCCGAAGGTTGGTTTATTTCTCGGTGTTTGAAACTTACCTATAGGGAACTGCTGATGTAGCTGAATTGTATTTAGCCCCTGGTCCTATTTATCCGTGGGAATCGCACTTCCAACTCGGCCTTGTGCCGTATTCTGTTTGAGTGGGCACACAGATAATTACCAAGTTGCATTAGTCAAAGATAATATGTAACATCTCAGCGTGGAAATTAATACGATTAAGGACACTCTGAACTCATCTACAACCGCCTTAACTGCGCGTAAATCGAAAAGCGTCTCTCCCAAAGCACACAATTATGATGATGATCTTACTCATCAACTAATTATCCACACCCAAAATAATCCACTTCTTCTTCTTTCATGTATCGTGTCACTTCACGATGTAGGCAATCATGGCTTTCCACAACTTCCTTTCTCTTATAGCTGTTACAAAACGTTTGTATTTTTGCCATCACTCCCATTCCTCGTTCCGATCCATCCAGAAAATGTGCTCAGGTAGGTGGTCCTATCTCTCCCCTGTTCCTTTTGTCCTGTGTGTATCAAATTGTCCATGTCCTCTTTCTTCATTAAAAGTTTTAGCTGTCTCTTTCTGAGCATAAATTTCCTTTTAAAATATGTCTTCAACATTTTTAACATAACTTTATTAATCTCTTCGTCTATTGACTTCTTCGACTTCAAATTTAATTACATTATCCGCGTTCATGACGAAGAGGGAATCCCTCACCCACATGCGGGATTTAATGATTTCAGTAGAGGAGGGAAAATCTTTTTTAATTTTTCCTGTTTTTCTTTACAGAATTTATACCCTGGCTTTCTATTGAACTTTTTGTTTATTAAAGTAGGCTTCAGTTTATTTAATAATTAGCTATGAATTAAAAGAAATTACTGTACATGTATTCATGTTTAAAAATCTATCAACATTTTCTATTGCTATCAAATTTATAAAACTCCACTATAAAAATAATCCATGTAAATGTATATGTACTAATATTGAAAAGAATGAAAGATTTTTGAATAATATATGAATATTATTTGCAATGCACGTTTTGAATCGGATATTGGAAAGAGGAGAAAATGACATATGGAATCAGGATGAACACTAGGCTAAAAAGTTCGAGAGCCACTACTATAGAATATAAAAGTATAATATAAAAGCCATTAATTCTAAGCTAAATAAGTGAAGAAACGTAACGCAATGTTTCAAAGAAGGAAATTCCGATAAAAATGGTGGGAAAAGGCTATTTAAGCAATTGAAGAAATCGGTACAAATAGAAAAGAAAATATCTGGAATGCGCCTTTAGAGTTGGACAATCTTGAAAAGTAGGGTGGGGATGAATGATATTCTGACTTATGGTGAAAAGGAGACATTGAGCAAAAAAGTTTGAGAACCACGGATTTAGACTGAATTTCAATCAATAAATTTTAATTTTTGCGATAACAAAAAGACAGAAAACTTGTTCATATATTACGAGTCTTGCTTAAGGCCTAATATTAACGCATTATTAATACCAAAAAATGTAAATGTGTTGTAACCTAGAGAACGTTTACTGAATGAGGAATAACGAAAACGGAAGTTGGAAATGAAATGGGAATCTTTATAACATCAACAAACTAAAATACTCGCCAGTGGCGTGAAGTAGGTAAACCACAGCTAGCGGTAGACTACAAAAACAGCATATTACCCCCACTCATAATAGTGTCCAACGAATTTAGGAGGGCTGCGATATATCCATTAGTGTTCATACATACAGGATATAACAGATAGATATATATAAACAGACTGAGATTAGATAGATAGATAGATAAAAACAGACTGAGATTACATAGATAGATAGATAGATAGATAGATAGATAGATAGATAGATAGATAAAAACAGACTGAGATAGATAGATAGATAGATGATAGATAGATAGATAGATAAAACAGATAGATAGATAGATAGATAAAAGAGAATAGATAGAGATAAAAGACAGATAGATAGATAGATAGATAGATAGATAGATAAAAACAGATAAAAGATAGATAGATAGATAGATAGATAGATAGATAAAAACAGACTGAGATAGATAGATAGATAGATAGATAGATAAAAACAGACTGAGATAGAGATGATAGATAGATAGATAGATAGATAGATAGATAAAAACAGACTGAGATAGATAGATAGATAGATAGATAGATAGATAGATAAAAACAGACTGAGATAGATAGATAGATAGATAGATAGATAAAAACAGACTGAGATAGATAGATAGATAGATAGATAAAACAGAGATAGATAGATAGATAGAAGATAAATAGATAAAAACAGACTGAGATTACATAGATAGATAGATAAAAACAGACTGAGATTACATAGATAGATAAAAACAGACTGATTAGATAGATAGATAGATAGATAGATAGATAAAAACAGACTGAGATTAGATAGATAGATAAAAACAGACTGAGATTAGATAGATAGATAAATAAAAACAGACTGAGATTACATAGATAGATAGATAGATATAAACAGACTGAGATTACATGGATAGATAGATAGATATAAACAGACAGATTACATAAATAGATAGATAGATAGATAGAAACAAAATGAGATGATGTAACCTAGAAAGGGTTACTGAATGATGAATAACCAAAACGGAGGTTGGAAATGAAATGGTAATCTTTATAACATCAACAAAATACAATACTCGCCAGCGGCGTGAAGTAGGTAAACCACTGCTAGTGGTGGACTACAAAGACAGTATATTACCTCCACTTACAATAGTGTCCAATGTATTTATGTGCATTGGGTCATATCCATTAGTGTTCATAGATACGGTATATAACATAATGAAATAAAAAGCTGTGCTCTACAATTAGAAACTTAACCTTAATAAAAAAAATTTTAAAAATCCCTTTCCTGAAAGATTTCACTGATTTATAATCATAATTTCGATTATACTTGATTATAAAAACCCTAAGAAAAATTCTCGTTTTTTCAGTTACCGAAGTAAATGTTCTCACAATTATAAAATATCGGGAAAATATCAGAAAAATAAAATAATTTCTTCGTCACACATATTAATTTATAAGAAATATAAAATAAATCAATCATTTATTAAAATCATTTCTCAAACCATGTCGTCAACGATAAAATAACTTTAAATGATTTTAGCAAAGCAATGACACAATCATCATATAAGCTAAAATAAAAAAAAAATATCATCAATTTATTCTGTTGAAACAAAAAGTACGTGAAGTAAAAACAAGATGAAAAAGCCATCATAAACACAATTCGTCAGTACATATCACTTAATGATTGTCCTAAATACCTAAGCTTAATCATTAATTATCAACAATTAAACGTCTAATTTACTCATTAATAATAATACGGAAGCTCAAAAGATATTTTTATATAAAAATAATGTTTTTCTTTTAATGAATTCTCCTGCCCTTTGGTAGATTGCCTCACTAAATATAACCTATACAGCGAGTTTATCAAGTCTGTTCGCAAATGTATTTTGTAACTATCTTCTATCAGGACATTGGCGACCATGGCTCTCCACATTTTCCTCTTATTTGTATCAAATAATAATATTACTGTTATCTCTCCTAGAGCTTGTTCAACGATCCATTAACTCAAGGACGCTAGTTAGTTTATGCGTTGTTTTCCTCTGACTCACTTGCCATCAATATGTCCTGTGAGCCCAAAATATTACAAGACCTCTTTCCTCTTAAGGTGCCTTAGAAATTCATTCCTGGGGTTAAGTATGTGTGCTTTCTGTTTCCATTTTCTATAAAACTTTGTTGTTGCCGACATGTTTGGTTCATGGTGATCTCAGTATTCATTTGTAGAACCATTGTTGCTGCAAGTCTGCCTGTGTCGAAATTTTACAGCATTTACATCCATCTGTGTTCCTTATCTATCCTTTCTCTCTCTCTCTCTCTCTCTCTCTCTCTCTATATATATATATATATATATATATATATATATATATATATATATATATATATCTATATCTATCTTCTATATCTATCTATCTATCTATCTATATCAGTCTGTTCATATCTATATACCTACCACAGTCTGTTCATATCTATCTATCTATCTATCTATCTATCTATCTCAGTCTGTTCATATCTATATATCTATCACAGTCTGTTCATATCTATCTATCTATCTATCTATCTATCTATCTATCTATCTCAGTCTGTTCATATCTATCTATCTATCTATCTATCTATCTATCTATCTATCTATCTAAGCCAGTGGTTCCTAAACAGTTCGAAATATAAAGTTTTTGATGCTTCAGGCGGTTTTAGTAAATTTTCGTTCAAAGATTCTGACTTGAAGATAAAATAACCACAATTCCTTATTTTCATTTATTTGTAGGGTAAGATGTTTACCAATCTGAAAATTACAGTTTGCAAATGAAAAACAAATCGGATAATCCAAATATACCACAACCGTACTGAGATCGTAGATATAACATGCTGAGCCCTAATTGGCAATTCTCGTAAAAGCTGGGTTAATTGGCTCTGCCCAAACCTTTTTCAGGTAATATGCAACAGATTGAGACGGGTGACATCATACAATCCTCGCTGAAACCATATCTACCCCACTGTGAGAGGTAGATTCATGCGTTCTCCAGGGGTAAGGGGACATAAAAAAATATCAACTGGAACTTGAAGGAATTTGCTCGATAGTGTTTCCCTTGCTTTTATCCGTTTGGCCAGCTCCACACCTTCTCGTCAAAACTCCACTTGTCAGCTTTGTTATTAGTTTTGTGTATATGAATGTAAGAAAGAAAAATATAGAAAGATTGAAAAGAAAGCAAAACATTTTTACACTGATTACACAGGTCGTCAAACAATTTATTGACATTGTGTTTAATGGTAATTGGGTAGTTGGCAAATGTTGACTTATTAACTTAATAAGTTATCTACGTAAACATCTATATATCCAAAACTGTTCATACCTCTCAGCATTATTTTATTCGTATCTATCTATCTATCTATCTATCTATCTATCTATCTATCTATCTGTTTACGTGGAAATCTACCAATCTAGAACGCTATATATAATATTTAATATGATACATCAACATTTGTACGAATACACATTACTACATAAATCTTAACTAAAAACAGTCATTACAATTATGCTATTGTAAAATCTTAATACCTCATGTTATAAGGTTATATTTCGTTAACCTCCTCATTCTCTTCTTTCTTTCTAGCTTTTTCGTCTATTCATAACTTTTAATCTGTTTGCATCTCTCTCTCTCTCTCTCTCTCTCTCTCTATCTATCTATCTATCTATCTCGATCTGTTCCCTTCTATCTATCTATCTATCTATCTATCTATCTATCTATCATTATTATATACACTGACACAACGTTATTAATAGCAATTTCATGCAGACCTTTTATTGTATGAATTTGGAACAATGCAGTTGCTATTAAACCCTCTTAAAATGGCGTTATTTATTATGACATCTCGACTTATCAGCGTCTATTCATATCATCCTGACAGATCAGTTCAGCTATCTGTCTATGTTTTATTAAAGATTTTTCTGCGAGTTTCACCCTTTATAAAGCTCGTGTGCCACTAAAGGTAGAGTTTTACGATTGGAAGCCAATTGTGTGTATAGGAGTGGGTGATGACGGTTAACCCTAGACTTGAACAGTATCGTAGTGATCGGGGAAACATCATTTTGGGAGTCGATTCCGCAGGGCAGTCGTTCGCGGGAAGAAATGAATGTAAATACGGATAGAATGGGAACGGTTGAATTGGGAATGTAAGTGGTCGGGCGTGTTCTTGCACGCACACACATTCTCTCACTCTCTTTCTCTCTCTCAAATATAGGTAAATGTACAAGCATGAATTCGTATGTAAATGCATATATATATATATATATATATATATATATATATATATATATATATATATATATATATGTATGTATGTATGTGTGTGTAGTGTAAGAAAAACAGTGCTTAATGTTAAATAATCGAACTATTTAATATATTAAAAAACATAAAACCCAACAGGAAAAAATATCAGCAAACTACCGGAATAGATTAAACCCTAGTGTAACTACAGAATAAAGAACGAATCTTCCTTAAACGGCAATTGCATACAAAATAATGTAATATACCAATCCACGGTAAAAACATCAGTTAATGAAGAAAAATATACATAGGAGTAATTAAAGGACGCTGGAAACAAAGAAACTGCGCACACAAAACATATTTCATAAATAGTAAATGCGCGAACAGCACAATGATTTCCAAGTATATCTGGGAAATTAAAAAAAAAAAAGCAAATCACACCAAAAATATCATGGAAAATAAAGAAAAGAAAATCAGCCTATAACAATCAATCCAAAAATGCAAACTCTGCTTGGAAGGAAAATAACTATAATTCCCTTCCCTGACAGAATTCATCTCAAAATTTTTACTACTTTACTTAAAAATCGAAAACTGAAAAGTATTAAAAAATAAAATAAAATAAAATAAATAATCAAAAACAAGTAAAATAAATTAATCCAAATAAATAAATCAATAAATAAAGTAAATAAAAAATTAACAAACCACTCCCGCCAAAATAACTGCTGGAATAGACTACCCATAATACACCACTGACAGGTATATATACATAGTCGAGAAAAAACACAACGCATGTGGCCTGATCATATGAAACAGTCTGTCGCCTCTGAGTGTTGACTTCAATGTTCACTTATCTCTGGCAAAAGATTATGCATCATGACACACAAGAAGAAAAACACAGTTATGGCTGTCAGACAATTTCTGCGACAGAATCACACCTTGTATCTGGCCGCCTAACTCCCCAGACTGCAACCTCTTGATTATTATGTGTGAGGCGCTGTTGAGCGAAAGACCAACTCCTTGTAACACCAAAGATGAACAGAAGACAAAGATTATGTTTCACCAATTTAAACAAGGAGATCATCCAGAAGACCTGCAAGAAATTCTGAAGTGGTCTGGAGACAGTGGCTGAATTTAATGACGATTTTATTGAATAAATTTAGTTTATTTTTTCAAGATATTTTGTGTAATTTTAGTAAATATAGCTGTTTGCGTAACTTAGGGGGGCGATTTAGCCATCGCCCCCTTTCTCTCTCTCTCGATATATATATATATATATATATATATATATATATATATAAAATGCGTTTTGATTTATACTTGAAAAAGTTTAAGCCTTAATAAGTAAATCCGAAGTTTAATAATGACAATAACGTTTATTTTGTAGAATAAATATTTCCATGGAATCCCTTCCTTGTTAATACACATAATTCAGTGGCGAATATTAATCACATAAATCGAATAGTAACTGCTCTGACGAGCTTTATTCACTGGTGCCCCGACTATATGAGTGCGCCACTAAGTTGGCATTTGGGTCCCACCCATTTACTATTGATATAGCTAAATGCATCCGCCTCTTCTACTGCAACAGTTTCTGTTCTCTCACTTCCCGCCAATGGAAATCCCTTTCGTTTATTTGCTTCCCTGATACAATCTTCAAAAATTTAAATGCAGCGTCAATCGCTATCTTCCCTCTTCTTGAATGCCATTCATCTTCTGTCCTTTTCTCAATCTTTCCTATACTCAGTGTTTTCTTTCACTTCCACTCCCTGTGTACCCCCTGCGTACTAGTGGTGCGTTCACATTGCATGCGGTGAAATGTTTTAAAATATATTATACAATGAAATTTTCAGAACTAATAATAAAAGCAAGTAAGGCAACGGATTTATTGATCCACTCATATCATCGGAAATGCCCAAGTTTTTAGGTAATGTTCATAAATCTTTCCAGTGATATCG